CCTGTTTTCCAGAGTAGCTACACCAGCTTGCATTCCCACCAACAATGCAAAAGAGATCCTCTCTCCGCATCCTCGCCAACATCTGTTGTTGCCTGAGTTGTTCGTGTTAGCCATTCTGACAGCTATAAGGTGATATCTCATGGTGGTTTTGATTTGTATTTCCCTGATGATGAGTGATGTGGAGCATTTTTTCATGTGTCGGCTGGCCATCTGGATGTCTTCTTTGGAGAAGTGTCTATTCATGTCTTTTGGCAAGGCAACCTTTTAAACGAAACAAAGTGTGGGACAGGTCTGTACTTAAATTCTAACCAGAAGTGACAGATCACCAGAATCATGTGGAGAAGTCGTGAAAAGCATGCCGTGGCAATAAAAGGGAGGTGGACCCAGGGCAGTGCTGACTCACACTGCAGCCACACTCTGCAAGAAAAGCACCTGTTACCAACCATTGTGATTATTTGACGATCAAGGAATTACAATAGATTAAGCATTTTGTAACCTGACATGTTGGTTTGCCATTCACACATAGATATTTTATTGCCTTTTATTTAACATTTGGAGAAATTGTATGGGAGCTTGGGCTGACTAATAGCATATGGTTTTTCCTGTAAAATGATGCGAAAGAAGCGTCTTCATGAAGAATACCTGATTTTTAGGAAAGAATAACTGATGATAAACAGGAGACACTTACAATTTTATCTGCCTTGGTCCTTTCAAAAAAACACATCTCCTTTTATTGTTTTGAGCAGGTTATAGTTGTCAGCCTCTGCCTTTTCCCCCTGCTTCTTCTTAAAGATGGGTCCTTTGATAATATTTCAGTCTATGAATTCAGACCAGAAGGCAGAAACTAGCCTATTCCACGGAGAGGCGAGGTGAGAGGATCTCTGTGGGACAGCTGCCAACAGGATGATATTCTTTGGGTGGAAATGATATTCCCTCTATTCCCTCTTGCTTTCAACCTGCAGAAGACCACTCTTAGCGTTTGGCAGGAAACATTTAGCACTTAGCATGTGCCAATGCTGCTTTAAATAACATGAGATACTCCCTAGAGTCACCCTTGTGCACGTGCTACCATGTCACTCTCGCAACAACTTTGGGTGGTAGGTTTTATTATCACACCCATTTTAAAGAGGAAACAGGTCCAATGTTAATGCTGGTAAGGGTTGAGGCCGAAATTTGAGCTTGGCTTTCCCTTACATCTTCCATGCAACAATCTAGTGTGTGTGTTCTTTTTTTTTTTTTTTTAAGTTTATTTATTTTGAGAGAGAGGGGTGCGGGGAGTGAGAGAGAGAGAGAGAAAAAATGTGAGCAGGGGAGGGGCAGAAAGAGAGAATTTCAGGGAGGCTCCGAGCTGTCAGTATAGAGCCCGATGCGAGGCTTGAGCCAAAATCGAGAGTCAGACACTTAACTGAGCCACCCAGATGCCCCTGTATTCGTTTTTTTTTTTTTTTTAATTACAATTAACTACCACAAATACAGTGGCTCAAAACAACACACAAATGTGTTATCTTACCATTTTCATGGATCAGGGGTTGAAGCAGGGCCTAGCTGAGAGGCTTTGTTCAGGGTCTCACATGGATACCTATCATCAAGGTGTCAGACAGGCCGTATTTTCATCTGTAGTCTCAAGTGGGCAAAACCTACTTCCAAGCACAGTCAGGTTATTGACAGAATTTATTTCCTTGTGGTTGTATGACTCAGGGCTCTGGGTTTTGCTGGTTGGCTGCCCTCAGTTCCCTGCTTTCTCAACATGACCGCTCCCATCAGGCCACCAGGGAGTATCTTCACCCATGCTGGTTAAGATGGGAAGAAGGATAAAGAACTCGTGGTATGGATTTGAGTATGTGTGGCTCAGCCAGTAATTGTGAGTTACCTTTTGGGGAACCTGCAACTTTATTCTAAAACGTTGAGAGAACACAGAGTTCTAATATGTATGTTAAATATGTGCAATGTCTGCTTAGACTTGGTCGAAAGTGTTCACTCCTTTTCTTGCCGAGAATTTATTAGACCTGCTTGGTAGTGGTTCTTGCCTGATTGAGTTCCCAAAGTGAATACAGTAGTGAGACAAAAGAGGGAGTAAAAAATGACGCCCAAATCCCTAGCTTTAGAGATTGAACAGATGGACATGCCATTTATGAAAGACGACCAGGTGGGGGGAGTGGAGGGAAGTTGCAAATGAAACACACAATGTCTTGACTGCACCTGCTGTCAGTTTGGAATATTATTCCAGATAATTCTGAATATATGCCAGATAGTATTATTTGAAATCTTATGGAAATCTTATTCCAGATAATTCTAAATATAGTTCTCCAGATATTCTTAAGAACCTTTCTGTTGCCAGAGAAACAAACGAATAAGAAATGGATCCTGGATTAAATATTTTAGGGGCTCCTGGGTGGCTCAGTCAGTTGAGCGACCGACTTCGGCTCAGGTCATGATCTCACGGTTTGTGAGTTTGAGCCCCGTGTCGGACTCTATGCTGACGGCTCAGAGCCTGGAGCCTGCTTCAGATTCTGTGTCTCCCTCTCTCTCTGCCCCTCCCCCACTCATGCTCTGTCTCAGAAATAAATAAACATTAAAAATAAATTTAAAAAAATATTTTGTTGCTTGGCTTACAGAACAAGGAAGATTCTCCAAGGCCCTCCACCCCCAGTGTAAAAATACTAATACACACACATTTGAAAACACACAAATAGGGGTTGAAAACCTCATAAGAGACTAGTAAGTGAGTGCCCTCACTTCTAGATTAGTGCAGGTTGACCTACAATTAACAAACAAATAAAATACGTAGTATGTCAGATCATTGTGATTTGAGGAAAAAATAAGCAAGTGACAGGGAGAGAGAGCTGTAATTTTATGTAGGTTGGTGGGGGAAGTTTTACTGAAGCTAAGCTATTTGAAGAAAGACCCAAAAGAAGTGAGAAAGGAAGCCATGGAAATAATTGTAGGAAAAGTATTCCAGCCAGAGGGCCAACCAATGTAAAATTTATTTTTTAATATTATTTTTAATAACTTTTTAAAAATGTTTATTATATATTTGAGAGAGAGAGAGAGAGAGAGAGAGGGAGGGGCAGAGAGAGAAAGAGAGAATCAGCACAGAGCCTGATGAAGGGCTCAAACTCACAAACCGTGAGATCATGACCTGAGCTGAAATAAAGAGTCGGACACTTAACCGACTGAGCCACCCAGGCGCCCCCTGATGTAAAATTTCTAAAGAAAGAATATATCAAGTGACTGGAGTAGAGAGAGCAAAGGGGAATAGTTAGAGGTCAGAGCAGAAATGAGAGTTCAGATCCTATAAGGGTATTTAAAGACTCTGGCTTTTATTTGGAATGAAATGGAGTGGGTTTGAGCAGAGAAATGATATGATCTGATTTGAGATGGAAAAAAAAAAAATTCGCTCTCTGCCATGCAGAGAACAGAGCGAGTGGTGTAGGTGCCCCACTAGTTGGCTCATTGCAATAATGCCAATGGGAGATGATGAACCAGAGTGCTCATGAGATGGTGAGAAGCAATCAGACTCAATATATTTTGAAGTTAAAACTAGCAAGTTTTAATGCTAGACTGGATGTGGTGTGTGAAGAAAACAGAAGAGCCAAAGATGACCCCAAGGTTTTTGGAAGATCATGTTTTAAAGGGATTTGACTATGGAGAAGTGGGGGATGGCTCAGTAACTAGATGGGCCAAGGGGTCCAAAGTAGCTTTTTCAAAAGTGTTTTCATTCAATTATAACACAGAAACAAGAGAACACAGTTATATGTATACAACTCCAGCATCCAGATCAAGGAAAAGAATGTTTCCATGAGCCCATAGACCCTCTGGGTTCCTTTCCAGTAACTACCTACTCCCAAAGGTAACCACTTTCCTAGTTCTGACACTATTAGCTTAGCTTGTGTTTAAACTTTATATACACAGAATCAGACCATATGTACTCTTTTTATGTAACCAATTTCTTTTTATTATTGTAATTTTTTAAATTTATTTTTTAGTTTACTCCAAGTTAGTTAGCATATAATGCAATAATGATTTCAGGAGTAGATTCCAGCGATCCATCTCCGATATATAACACCCAGTGCTCATCCGAACGTGTCTTCCTTAATGCCCCTTAGCCATTTAGCCCCTCCCCCACCCCAACCCCTCCAGCAACCCTCAGTTTGTACTCTGTATTTAAGTCTCTTATGTTTTGTCCCCCTCCCTGTTTTTATATTATTTTTGCTTCCCTTCCCTTATGTTCATCTGTTTTGTCTCTTAAATTCCTCATATGAGCGAAGTCATATGATACTTGTCTTTCTCTGGCTGACTAACTTCACTTAGCATAATACCCTCCAGTTCCATCCACGTAGTTGCAAATGGCAAGATTTCATTCTTTTTGATTGCCGAGTAATATCCATCTTCTTTATCCATTCATCCGTCAGTGGACTCTTCTATGCATGACCTTTTCCCCCCGAACATTATGTTTGTGGGATTTATCTATACAGCTGCATGTAATTGTAGTTTGTCCACTCATGTTACTGTTTAGTACTCCATTGTATGAATATACCAGAATTTTTATTTCTCCCTTCTATTGTTTACAGTCATTTAGATAGTTTCCTTTTGGAGGCAATTATGTGTATTACTTATATGACCATTTCTGTACATGTTTTTGGAAAACACGTGTGTGCATGTCTGTAGTATATTCCCCTGGGGATAGGACCCAAGGCCTTTTTTGGGTCTTTACTGGGTAGGTGAGGTTGTTTACTCCAGTACAGTAATAAAATTATGGCTAATTTCTTCTTTGGTCTAGAACCTAGATGGGGAAGAGCATTGTGGTAAGTTATAATCTTTGAAGCCAGAAATTTCAGAATAAAGTCATTAAATGAGACAGAATATTGAGCCACATTCAATTGACGGACATGCATTTCATTCAGTTGACAGAAACGGAGCTGTATGTTCTTGAAGTACTTTTAATTTAAAAGTTCTTGCAATCCCTACTATATAACATTTAAGCAATATGAGTGTGAAAATAATACGGAAGTGGAGACTGCATAGCCATGTGACTTGGCCACTTTACACCAGCACAAGCGTGCACATTTTCTCCTCTTATTTAGGGCTGGGTGAACCACTTTCTGTTCAGTTTACCCACCTGGGATTTGAGAGACTCTTTCCCTTTCTTTTCTTTTCTTTTTTTTTTTTTTTGAGAGAGAGAGGGAGCATGAGCAGGGGAGGGAAACAAAGAGGGAAACGGAGAGAGAGAATCCCAAGCAGGCTCTGCACTGTCAGTGTAGAGCCCGATGCGGGGCTCGAACTCACTAGCCATGAGATCATGACCGGAGCAGAAATCAGGAGCTGGACGCTTTAACGACTGAGCCACCCAAGCACCCCAAGAGATTACTTTTAAGAGCAATAAAATGACTCTCACTGAGCAAGTGCAAAACAAAAACCGTTTTTCTAAAGGTTTCTTTCAGTGTCTAAAGTAGCTGAAATTTCAGGAGAGTCTAACCACACTTTGCCAGGAGCCCTGGCTTTCTCCTTTTTCTTCTGAGGCGTTACTCCTATGCATGACCTTGAAGGATTTTTGACATGTTGGATATGACCTTGTGACTGAGGCATGGAAAATGTACTCTGGAAAAGATAAAGTTTATTAGTGGGTTTTAAACTCTGATTTTGGAAGCTTTTTTTGATCCATATTTGAAATGCATTTCCCCCAAACGTATGGTAGTAGCCTTTCCAACTTTACCAAAATATAAAATGCATCGGTATTCATTCGAACAAATGCTATGCTGTGATCTGCTAATCATATTACCATTTACCAATAAGATCATAATTGAGTCATAATGTATTCCTTCCCTTGAAATAATTTCTTTTTTTTGTCTTGGAAGGCAGGAGGTTTATTTTACACCGGTGGGCCCAGAGGAGATCATTCTCCAGAGGTCTAAGCCCTTTAAATAATTTCTTTAGAAAAAAATGGGTTTGAGAGAAAAGACCAGCATTTTCGAATTGTAATGTCATGCCCTAAGAGGAAGTAAGGAAGAACACAGGACACCATCAGCAGAACAGAGAGGCCCTAGTAAGATACGACTGCATTAGCAAGGGAACCGGGTCATGGAGACTGTAGGGAGGCAGGTGGCTGTGTTCATGACAAGAAGAAGGAGATACAGGCTTTTCATGCTCAGCCCATCAGCCTACATCATTCGTTCTCCTTGTGATTTTATCTGAGCCTTGGTTCTTTTATAAGGGGTTGGGGCAGGTGATTTCTTTCTTATTTTTGAGTTTATTTATTTTGAAAAAAGAGTACATATGGGGGAGGGGTAGAGAGAGGGGCAGGGAGAGAGAGAGAGAATCCCAAGCAGGCCCTGCGCCACCAGGGCAGAGCCCGATGCGGGGCTCGAACTCACGAACTACGAGATCATAACCTGAGCCGAAGCTGGACGCTTAACCGACTGAGCCACCCAGTCGCCCTTGGGGCAGGTGATTTCGAAAACCATTTTAGCCATTCTAATAAGCAGGTCTTCTGGTTTGCGGGCCAGAAGGCACTAATAATCTCCGATACCAGTGTCATCGTGAAGGAGCCCATTCATAGAACTCTCTCCTCACTCTGAAAGTTGACTGCTATGTGAACCTCGTTGCCTCCTCTTTCTGCCACTTTTTAGACCCGGAACATCACAGCTCCAGTGTCGGGACCCAGCAGGTGTCATGTGACATGTCAGAGTACTCACCCCTGGGTTCTTGGAGTACAGCTGTTTCCACCAAAGGATGGAAGCGTAGGTAGCCGTTAAGAGTTCCAGCACAGTGAAAATGAGCATCACCACCAGCACCCCCTGTGAATCAAGACAGGAACAGTTGGTGCCATCAGCTAGCCCTGTGCCTGACTGAGAGGAGACTGGGGGTGAAGGCTCTAGCCGTGGAGAGAATAAGGCACAGAAATAAGCAGCAACGGTTTCCTCTCAGAACCGTGGGATCCCACCTTCTGAGACAAGAGTAACCCTTCCTTTATCACTAGTTGTTTTCACTGGTGTGATGTTTCTAGTGTGGATTTGCTTTTACTTACCCAGAAATGGTCTCAGTTCATCCTTTCCATCTGAAATCTCATGTTTTTTTTTTTTTTAATTCTGAAATTCACCCCACTTATTTCTCTTTGCGCACGTCCTCTCTCCCTGGCAGGCTTACGGGGCTCACATTAGATGTGTGCTGGTTCTTTTCAGTTCGCTGCCTCCTACCTGTCTGTTAACCCGTCACTCATATCTTTCAGATTTTCACTGCGATGTGATTTGATCAGACCTCAATTTCACTTCACTGTTTATTTCTTTGGATATGTTGAATCTCCTTTTTAACTGATAACACTAAATGGTTCATTTCAAAGATTATAATTTGCATTTCTAATCATACTGCTTAGTTCTTTTTCAAATCTACTCTTTTTTTCTTGCTGTCATGTTATCTCATGTTGGTTTGAATTCCTTTTCTTTATGTCTTTATTGTTGAAAATATGTTTTCATTATGGTCTTCCAAATTGGTATATAACCTCCAATTCTTGAGCAACTAAACTTTCATATTTGCTGCTATAACCCGTTTTTTTTCTTAGGTTTTTCAAAATATTTTTCCTCTCAGATGATGTCAGTATATGGGTACGTGGGGGAGGATTTTTTTGTTAATTTTTTTTTAACGTTTATTTATTTTTGAGACAGAGAGAGACAGAGCATGAGCATGGGAGGGGCAGAGAGAGAGGGAGACACAGAATCTGAAACAGGCTCCAGGCTCTGAGCCACCAGCTCAGAGCCTGACGCAGGGCTCGAACTCATGGACCGTGAGATCATGACCTGAGCCAAAGTTGGATGCTTAACCGACCAAGTTGTTTTTTTTTTTTTTAATTTTTTTTTAACGTTTATTTATTTTTGAGACAGAGAGAGACAGAGCATGAACAGGCGAGGAGCAGAGAGAGATGGGGGAGGATTTTTTGATATGTAGGACAGACCCATTGGTTGGGTTTATGGATGACTCCCTAGATGGAAACTTTAGGTTTGATTCTGATAGAACCTCAGGAGATCCAGACCCAGGAACAGTTTTTAAGTGAATCCCTGTATTTGAGGTTCGTTTGTTTTATATGGAATTTGGATTTGGATACTGTCCATCCCTGCACATGGCTTGGTGAGATGATTTCATCCTAGAAACTTTTATGGTGGAGTTTCTTTAAGCTCCTTGGGATGTTGGGCAGAGTTTTCCTTGTCTTATTTTCATAAATACGGTACATATTCAGTCTCTGCTTCTAACATTTTTGCAGGACACTCAGTGCGGGCTTGAAGAGCTTCAGATTTGTCATGGACATTAAAATGCCATTATCCCAGCTTGTAACACCTATATTCCCATCCAGGCCTCCCTGGTTTTCTGGTCTCAGCTCTTACTTGGTTGCCCGGCTGCAGGATCCTTCTTAGCTCCTGGAACCAACGATGCCTTTCTTCCTTGATCTTTTTCTGCCTCCCACCCTCTCTTCCTTCCTTCTTCCAACCTCAGATATACATCTTGAATCTTTTGATGTGTTACTTTGCTCCGGTTATCTTTGTGTTAATAAAGAGTGGACATTTGAAGTCAAGTCCTACTGCAACTTCTCCGATTCTGCAGGAAGTTCTCTGGTTGTCTGAGGGTAGGAGTCAATTTGATGTATTGAGTTTAGTTTCCATTGAGTTAAACCCTCATGCCCCAGCAGGGAGGATGTCTCCCTCACCCTCCTGGCTTTGCTCTGCACCAGGCTGATGCCATATCCTGGGCTTCCTCGCACTGATTTCTACCCAGATGCATTTCTGTGCCCTTCCACTTCCTCAAGCTCCTGCATCAGGGGGGTTGCTTTTGCCAACCTCTGGGTCACACAGGCAGACTCACAGAAGTCTGTGAGTCTGGAAACTTGCACACACGTTCTGGGATTCCTGAGACACGTCCAAGGGAATAGGAGAGATTTCATCTATCTCCCTGGCTCCTGCTAGAGGAGTCACAAAGGAAGAAAATTTTCTCCCTAAAAGGCCAAAGTTTATGGTTTTAAAACTATGAGCCTGTATATAGAGAATTGACGAAGCCAATATTTTTATCGTCAACCACTGGTGACCATCCAGCGTGGGGGGAAAAGTGGCAAGAAACTGTTGCAGAGATGATGGCATTTCTGCTAGGATTTGAATCCGTTGGAGGCTCATCTCCCAGCCCCTTCTCACTCTGCCAGCCCAGCTGGGCCAAAGTATAATTATGTGTTTGGGCTTAAAAAGTCCAAATTCTGTAGCTAACTTAATGTGGATAAAATTCAAATAAAGAGGGCTATTTCTGCCTGCGTCGAGGGGGGAGGAAATGCCTTTTCAACAAAGGAGGCACTCCGAGAGCTAAACCTATTGAGAATGGGATGTTTTCTATGCAAGAAAGACTGCTGACCTTATCTTCTTTATCCACTTATCTATCCGTGGACTCTCAGGTTGCTTCCGTATCTTGACTCTTGTAAATAATGCTGCGGTAAATACATGGGTGCACATATCTTTTCAAACTAGAATTTTTGTTTTCTTTGAGTCAATTCCCAGTAATGGAATTGCTGGATCGTATGGTATTTTTATTTTTAATTTTATGAGAGACTTCCATACTGTTTACTACAGTGGCTGCACCATTATACATTCCCACCCAACAGTGCACGAGTTTTCCCGTTTCTCCACACCCTCTCCGACACTTGTTATTTCTTATTTTTTTGATACTAGTCATTCGGATAGGTGTGAAGTAATACCTCACTGTGGTTTGGGTTTGCATGTCCCTGCTGCTTAGTGAGGTTGACCATCATTTCATGTGTCTGTTGGCCATCTGTATGTCATATGTGGGATAATGTCTATTCAAGTCCTCTGCCCGTTTTTTAATTGGATTATTTGTTTTATTAGGATTTATCATTTACAAATATAAGTTGTCTTTCTGTTTATGTTTTCCTTTCCTGTGCAGAAGCTTTTTATTTTGGTGTAGCCCCAATAGTTTATTTTTGCTTAGTTCTCATGCCAGAGGAGACACGTCTAGAACCCACAAGTCTTCTTTATTTCCTTTTTTGACTTGGCACAATGCATCCCCCATATTTTGCAGTCTGCCGACAGGACTCAACCACAGTTTGGGGTTTTTTTTTTTTTGGTCTGCTTCCAGCCATTCAGATCAACCAGGCACAGACTGCTGAAAAAGCAGAGATTATGCAAAGGAGAGAAACTAAGAATTTCACGGGCAAGATATTCAGTCTGAAACTACTTACCGTCAGACTGACACTAGCCAGGAGACAGTCCTTGAATTCATAAGTTGAATAATAGTACCCCTAATAAGCCAGTGAGGATAGGTATTCCCTTTCTGAGTCACACGGTCGAGAGGCCCTCTCCAAGGCTACCAGGCTGTCAGCAAGGAGGAAGAGGCCTGTTCAGCAGCTAGAGAACTCGCTGCACTTGCGGTCAGGGTGCTCGTGGCCTGAGAAAGAAAATCTGCATTGGGATGTCACAACAGGAGCAGCATGTGATGCTATTAACCCTTCATCCGTTGTACTACATCGTTGCGTCCCTGAGTCTGTCTCCCTTGTAATCTGTGCACTTGTAGGGGGCACAGACTATGTTTTATTCACCTCTGTATCCCTCTTCACTACCTGGTTTATCACCTGATACAGTAAGTAAATGTTTGTTGAGTGAGAGAATGCACACGTAACTCCTCCTCCAGTATAGGAGTTCTGGAGTCCTTGGCTCTCTGCAGCACTGAAGACAGAGATGGCTTGCTGACTTCCCCAACAGCCTTAGAGTCGTTCTATTGCTTTCAGCCCTTCCAGAATCGGACCTTTGGTCCCTCCTACACCAGTCTATGGCTTTTATTTCCATGAAAGAGAGAACTGGAGAAGCTAGAATACCTACCTATAGGTGGATCAGGCCCAAGAACCACGTTCACCATATTCTGATTTGGGTCATATTCTATATTTCGGGGCAAAGGGTTCTCGCAGAATATGATGCCTCTGCAAAGACACTGAGGTGCCACACTCTGAGCCAGCTTCCCAGCATGTGCTCATTTCTCTTTGAACGTCATTCAAGGATACTGTGTGTCTGGGGGATGACTGCTCTGCCCTTCGTTCTCCCTTGGCCTGGGAGCCGTGTGGCTTCAAGTGCTGAGTTCCCAAAGGAAGTGCCGATGGAATGGGCGGCGCCTTTGCCCGGAGCTGCCACGTGTGCACTGGAGCCCACGTACTGTCTTGTGTCCTGCGTGCGGAGCCCACATCATGCTGGGTCATCCCAAGTATGGTTTTCCCTTTCAGGATGCTTGGGAAGCCACCTGTGAGAGCCACAGCCACATGTTCCTCTTCCCCATTTTATAAATGAGAAAACTGAAGCCCAGAAAAGGAAGGAACTTTTTCAAGCACACACGTGGGTCAGTGACAGATCTGAGACGAGAGTTTCCTGGTGCTGGGTCCAGAACTCTGACTCCATCCAGTGGGGTGAACTCTGTCCCCTGGTTCTGGGGTTTAGATTCTAGCTTCCAGTATAAGGAACATATACCAGCCTCAGAACACCATCTTCTGTGCCCTCAACCGTAGTTAACTAGATCTTGGATCTTCCTGAGTCAGGATGTGGCCCTTCCCTAAGTCATCTTTGTGAGTGTGTGGCAAGGCAGAGGGAAAGGTTGCTAGAGTATCAAAGACGCCACCCACACACTCCTGACTTTTGTCAGGAAAGTGGCTACAGTCTGTTAATTCCTTGTTTCTGAGGGGGTGGGGGAGCGAGCCACAGGATCTAAGCCCACACACCTCTGCCTCTGACCTTGCCGTTTAGGGAAATTGGCTCATTCTGAGACAGGTTTTTCCGGAAAAGGAAGTCTAGGTTCTAGAAGGTCATCTACCCTGTTCAGGGCCAAGCTAACAAACCGCAAAGACTCCATGGTTTATTTAAAATTGTCTGCCATTCGAGCAACTGAAGTAAACCTTGAAATGTGACCCAGGAGCACATTGCATAGGGGAAGAGTACTGGTCTAGGAAAGAGGGAATTTGGCGTTTACACCCAGTTCTGTCACCGGACCAGCAGTGAGAACTCTCTCCCCTGCTCAGAGCCCTATTTCCCTAAGCTGTCAAATGGACACTTTGAACTAGAGTTATTGCCTCTGAAGTTCTTTTTATTCCGGCGAGCTGAGATTCGACGGCTCTCATACTTACAAAGGGCATAGTTGCCTTTTTCCCAGAAATGATCGAGAGGGATCCAGTAATGGCAAACTGCTCAGAGAAGAGAGAAATGATCAGTTCAGTTGTCTTGTGGAAATGTGTGCACCATGTTACTATCCATCAATCAATAAGTAATGTAAAACTCTTAGAGAGATAACACCGTAGGAATGGTGTCGGTCCATATTAAGAGAGAGGCCTTATTTCTACTCTCAGGATGCTTAACATTGACTTTAGAGAAAGGGCAGATGCACAGAGGATTGGGATTTATGTTAGCGAAAATCACTGTGAGCTGAGGTGGCCTGGAGCGGAGGTATACACAGAAAAAGAACAGTGCTAAGTTACGAGGTGGGAAGAGAGGAGGTTGAGGAAGACCAATGATTTGAAGGGATATGAAGGTGGGAGCAGCCGACAGAAGCACGTAGGAAAGGGGCTCCAATGACAGAAGGTACAGAAACACGTGAGCTTCAAGCACTGGTGTAGGGGGCCTGAGTTAGACTGGGAGTTGAAGAAAGGGGGAGGTACAGGGTCAGGTGTGAAGAGTCTCTCATCCTGAAGCCCCAGAAGTCAGTATTTTAAGTTTATTTATTTACTTTGGAGGGGGGGAGAGCAGGGAGGGGCTGAGAGAGACAGAGAGAGAGAGAGAGAGAGAGAGAACCCCAAGAAGGCTCCCCACTCAGCACAGAGCCCAATGAGGGGCTCGATCCCATGAACCATGAGATCGTGACCTGAGCTAAAATCAAGAGTTGGACATTTAACCGACTGAGCCGCCCAGGTGCCCCCAGAAGTCAGTATTTGAGCCCAGTAGTGTAAGGATCTGGCTGGTGGAGGGAGAAAGTTCTAAGCTGGAACATTGGTTAAGCTTGTGCCTTAGGGGTTGGTAGTAGTCACAGACAAAGAGGATCCAGCATGAGCTGTTCCTGCCTTTCATAAGGGAATGTGGGAGCTCAACCACTTATTAGAGAAGTAAGGATAAGTTGTGCTCTGGGGTCAGGAGCAGGGCTTCCCTGCATCACTGCATAGTTTGCATTCACATAAAGGCTGTATCCATACAGAGGTGATGCCCTGTTAGAATTCATCTACCCAGAATGTGTGATTTTTCCTCCTTTGTGTAGGATACTACATGGAAAAGAAGTGGCCCTTTGTGGGAGGTATGACTAGACCCTGGCTAGTCTCCAAAGAAAAGGCCCCCTTTCCATTAGCCGTTAGATGGAAAGTAGCAACAAAAAAAAAAAAGTTTTCCAAATTCTCAGGGTTACTTCTGAACACATAGCAAGAGTGTCCTTGCTTCCCGTGAATCTTACCATCACCAGTTTGATTCTCTGCAGACCTGTGGCATTTACCCATGGTGCTCATTTTATTTTAAAAATGATCTTTTCACTCTTTACCTGACAGGTGGATTATTCTTAACACTGGAGGGAATGCAGTGGCCTCATCAAAGACCCGAAGAAGAATGTGAAAAATCTTCTACTTTTCCAGAGGTCGGCTGTGAGGCCAGGTAAGAAGTATTGTGCTGGTATGCCCACTGTATCACCCTCTTGCCTCCTGCCCTGGCCAGCTACTCCCTGGGATGGTGACACAGGAGGAGGGATTAGACTCCTCTGCTGCTCTTCCCGAATGGGAGAAACGTGACATGGGATGATGACAGAGAGAAAGCTAGAGGCCTTGGCCACCTGCTCCTTTCTCCCCACCTCTTGGGACTGAGTCACTCATGATCTAGTACCCACTTAGCGTTTAAAGAGCATATCCTTTCTTGGAGACCCCATTCTACTCACACGTGTAGCTGCTACAAATGGGTACCCAGACATCAAAATGGTGGAAGTTGTTGGCTTGAAGTGGGAAGAGTAAGGAGCAGAAACCAAAATCGCCCCCAAACTTGAAATCAGCAGGCAGCACATAATCTGTATAATCTACAAGAGAGAAGACGGAAAATGCTAGGAACATACTTTGAACAGATGAAAGCGATTATTTGAATGTACATTGTGTTTATAAGGAGTATAAAATATGCTATAATGTGTCATATTAAAAGGGGGGGGCAGTATTACAAGGAGCCAGTAAGCATTCTCTAAGAGAAACTCATGTATACCTAACTTCTTCCTTTCTGATAGGATTAGTAAACTAGCAAATCAGGAAGTGATAATATATACATTTTAATTTTATTTTGAAAAATATAGTTGACATTTTTTGTTGTTGTTGTTCTAGGAAAAGTAGGTGGAGAAAATTGTTCTGGACAATAGTCCAGTTGGATGGATGTAGAAAGCAAACTTACCAAGGGAGAGTTAATAAAGGGCTCAATTTCAATTGAAATAAAATAAAGCCATAATTCATCTCACCTTCTTCATCATTGAATTTTGATAATAATTACTGTTTTTATGACACCAGTGGTAATAGTCTACATTTGTTGAACACTTTCTACACTCTGGTTATTTATCTCATCTTGTTTATGGATGAGAAAAATGAGGCACTGGGAGTTTAAATAGCTTGTACGAACCCACACAAATGGCCAAGTGGAGGAACTAGGACTTAGCCCTATTACTTTGATCTAGAATCCACACTCTTACCCACTGTTTAATGCATATGCAATTAAAAGATGATACAAAAACATAGGAGAAATAATGTAAAGTCAAGAGAATTCAACCATTCATACAATTAATATTTATTGAATATCTGTCCTGTGCCAGCACCAGGGAAATGAAGCAGATGAAAGTCACTGCCACTGGCCATGTATTATGTCCTTTACAGAGATGTTCCTTGGAAAGTGGAATTAGTTAGGAGCAAAGTAGTAGGAGGCCCGAGGAGTACTGGGGACAGAGTGCAAACCCTGTAAGGTTTTGTAGGCTATTTTATCAACTTTGCCTTTTGTTCTGAGTAAAAAGGGAAGTGAAGTGGAAAATTTTGAGAAAGTGATTTCTATTTTTAAAAGATCATTCTAATGCTTGCCGCATCGAGAATAGATTACAAGGAAACAGAGCAGGGACATCAATAAGGAGGGCATTGTGGTAATTCACAGGTGAGATGATGCTGACTTGAAAACGACATTCATAGTAGAGGTAGTAAGAAGTAGTTGGATTCTCGTTGCACGATGAAGAGTCAGCCTCTAGGATTTACTGACAGTTTGCATGTGGATTATAGAAGAAAGGAATGAAGGTTGCTTCCAAGGGTTTTGGCTTAAGCATCTGAAATGATGGTGTTGACATTTATCTGAGATGGGGAATGTTGTATGAGGGGTGGGTTGGGGGACAAAAATGAGGATTTCCGTCTGGGACAGGTTACGGGAGAGGTGTAGATATCTCAGTGGAAACGTACATAGGCTGTTGGTTATAGGAGTCTTAACTTTAGAGGAGAGAGCCATGTAAGGGAAATAATCTTTTTCTTCCCAAGCCATCAGTGAAGATCATATTTAAAACTATATTACTGTGTGAGTTTACCACTGTAGCAGATGTAGCAACAAAATGGGGACTGAGCAATGGAGCACTCCAAATTGAGGGTCAGATAAATAAATAGAAACAATCAAGGAGTATAAAAGAAGCAGCCAAGAGGGAAGGAGGAAGACCAGAAGAATGTGATGTCCAAGAAGCCATATGATTAAAATGTTTCGAGTAGGAGAGGGTAGTCCGCTGCATCAAACACTTCTATTAGTTCAAGAACATTAACAGTGGAGACTTGGAAATTGGGTTACTAATGTGGAGCAAGGGGGACAAATCCCATTGGATGTGTTTCAAGAGAGAATATCATTCAAGAGGAGCTGGAAACATTAGACTTCCCACCCCATAGAGGAGTGTTGCTGAGAAGGCAAGTTGCTGGTGGGGCATTAGCTAGAGGGCCTGCGAAGTTATAAGTGTGTGTTTCTGCTGTTTTGTTCTCAAGATAGGAGAAATTGCAGGAAGATTCTTTCCTCATGGAACTGATCACAAAACATTTGCAGAGAGCATGGGGAGGATTACTGGAACGAGTAATGAGGGATGGGATTCACTGCCCAAGGGAGGCTCATCGTTAATTAGAAGATGGGCATTTGGTTAGTAATGGGGAGGGGAGAGAGAATATATGGCACCGATGGGAGTAATTGCAGATGTGTGGCAGCTTGTGGACCTTCCCTCCAGATTGCCTCAGTTTTCTTAGTATGTTAGGAAGCCAGGTAATCAATGGAGAAGGATTGAAACCTATTGAAATAGTTTTCTGGGATAGCAGGAAAGTGAATGGATGAAAGACATATCGTGTTCTTTTTAAGCAGCTTTTACAGTCCCTTTGAGGTTATGGTCACAAATCCAAAGTGGAGTCCGGGTGTGTATTTGCCAAGGTTCGTTGCATGGGTTCAGGGGCAGAATAGGCAAAGGGGCAGAGTTAGAATTAAACCAATGTGGCAGTTTTTCCTTAAGGAGGACAAAGCTGTTGATCGTGGCTAGGTGAGGAAGGCTCCATGAAATAGGGATATTATCAGTAACTCCCAGAGAGGTTAGAGAAAGTTAGCATCGACATAGAGTTGGAGGGAGTGATCTGGAAAGATCAGAGGTGATGGACTATGGGATGCTTGAAATGTTGGGGCGCCTGGGTGGCGCAGTCGGTTAAGCGTCCGACTTCAGCCAGGTCACGATCTTGCGGTCCGTGAGTTCGAGCCCCGCGTCAGGCTCTGGGCTGATAGCTCAGAGCCTGGAGCCTGTTTCCGATTCTGTGTCTCCCTCTCTCTCTGTCCCTCCCCCGTTCATGCTCTGTCTCTCTCTGTCCCAAAAATAAATAAACATTGAAAAAAAAATTAAAAAAAAAAAAAAAGAAAAAAAGAAATGTAGATAATGGTGGGTTTATTGCCGTTAGTATTGGTAAGGTCCAGGGTACGACTCGGGAAATGTTTGTCTATGGAAGGATGGGCAACATACCTGGGGAGAAGAGGTCAAGGAGCAGACAGGACATGATATTGGAGGGATCATATACATGAGTATTGAAATAGCCAAGACTTACGATACGAACTCTACCCTGGGAGTGATAGTGATTGAGGAGTCAGTATCTTGAAGATAAAAGGCACATTATCCAGGAGAGCAAAAATAGTGGCAATGACCTGGAATCCTTCTGTAGAGCAAGAGAACTGTGAGAATGGGGCTCTCTTGTTTTGTTTTGTTTTCTTTTCTTTTAACTGTATAGTTCATCTATTACCCTAAGTGTGTAAAATAGTGACTGGCACAGTGAAGGTGCTCAAAAAATGACAGCTGAATGTATAAATGAATAAATGCATTTCCAGTATCTCTTACTGATTGCTGAAGCACACAGTGAAATGTGTTTGTGATTCTAGGCCATAGGTAGGCTAGATTATAGGGAGCAGGACAGGTCTACACAGAACCAGTTGTCTGGAAGAAGTAAATTAAGGAGTGAGTATTGGTAAATGATAGTAGAATGACAGATGTTAACTGGTTTTATTGTCAAGCAACATAGTCATCAACTGATTTTTCTAAGGATGATCACTTTTCAAAATTGCCACTACGTCATTTGATGTTATTTTCTAAAACACTGATTGTTTTTAGGTTTTTACATGAAACTCATTCTTCTAAAATTTTAATTCTCCTATCAATTCGCAACTAGTCCTGATATTAGGATTACCTAAAAGAACTTTTGAAGTTTGTGACTATTAACAATTACTTGAAATAATTGTTTCCAGTGCTCAAAATATAGGTAACATTTTTAAAAATATCTCTTTTGGGAGGAAGACTGAAGTAGGACTTTTCAGATACTACATAAAAAGGGTAACTGTGTTGTTTTATTTTTCTTTTTTAAGTGGGAGTGAATTACTTAGTTGGATGACATGAGATTATTTTTTTAAAGTTTATTTATTTATTTTGAGGGAGAGAGAGAGAGAGAGAGAGCACAAGATGGGAAAGGGCAGAGAGGAGAGACAGAATCCCAAGCAGGCTCCATGCCGTTAGTGCAGAGCCCGATGCGGGGCTTGAACTCACATACTGTGAGATCATGACCTGAGCTGAGATTAAAAGTCAGCCGCTTAACCAGCTACACAACCCGGGTGCCCCTGGATGACATGAGATTCTAAAATAGGAGCTTTTAGAGACTGAGAGGAGAGGACTGATCTAGAAGTGCCCTGAGAAGCAAAGAGACTGCCTTCACTTCTATGCCCAGAAGAGAGGGTCACAGTGGAAACAGTGCCCTTGGGAGCTAGGTTCCTGTTTGCACGATTGATGAGGAGGCCTTTGAGAAACAAATCCAGGAATGAATCGGATTATGCTGTTAACGGACCCTGAATTCTAGAGGACACAACCAGGCAGGTTTCCAAAGTCAGAAATGAATAGGAGTTGGGTCTTAAAAGGGGATAGTCAGAACCAGGTGGACATTAAAGTCCTGAGTATGAAGGATGATGACTGGGGACATTCGGATGTCTTACGGTGAGGCAGACAGGGAGAAAATGTATGGTGAGGTTAGTCCAGATCGTCTCATCTCAAAATGGTTAAGAAATGAGCTCAAAATAGACAGATCTAATTTAATCACATTGAGTAAAATCATGTGCTTAAATCCAACATCCACTACAATAAAGACAAATGACAGGAGACTTTCTTATGTAGATTTCAAGTGGAGACCTAGTGGTTTTAGTTTATAGAAAGGCCTGAGGAGGACACAGTCTTCCCATAAAGCGCCATTTCATGTCCCAGTTGGCCTGGAGTCAGAGAAAAAATTGAGAGACTCTCCCAGATCCACTGTAGATACGTAGTGTGGGTATGTTTGCAGTATTTTCCACGGTGTCTCCCTTCCAGTGACGTGGACTTACTCCAAGGACTGTAGTTTCTTTTTGCAGAGTGTTTGGTGGGTTGTCCTCTTTTTGGTAGCTGTATCTAGGTTTCTCTCTTTTGGGGATGATGATGCCATTCGGAGTAAAGCTGTCAAAGGCTCCCTTGGTCTTGGGCTTTGATAGCATGATCCTGACAATGCTGGAAGAGGCAGTGAACTCAATTGGGTCCTGAGGTTCGACTTAAAGATATGAAACCATCCAAGATTTTTCTCCATTGTCCAAGAGGTGACCTGTCCTTTAGGATTGAAAGTTAATGTGGGGAGCAGTCTGGAAAGCTAGCGTGCTTGGCACAGTCCATCCATTGTGGACAGAAAGCGTGTCACTGGGAGAAAACTGTGAACACAATTGAGAGGTGAACCATTCATATAGAACTTTCCTTGCGGCCTTGAGGAGATCCACCTCGCTGTCCTTCCAATGGCCCCTGCTTCCAACATCCCTCTCATTCCTGTGTACCTCTGCTTCCCCTGTGCCACACTCCCACACCACACGCCCCAGAATCGTACCTTTATGCTGCACCTTTGCTGCTCAGTCTTCCTTCATAGTCTCGTTTTCTTTCCATTAAGATGTTGATTAGCTGGGGGGCCTGGGTGGCTCAGTCAGTTAGGCATCTGACTCTTGACGTCAACTCAGGTCATGATCTCAGGGCTTATGAGATCTAACCCCGTGTCAGGCTCCGCATTGAGCATGAAGCCTGCTTGGGATTCTCTCTCTCTGTCTCTCTCTGCCCTTCCTCACTCACACTGCCTCTCTCTCTCTCTCTCTGTATTTCAAAATAAATAAAGAAACATTTTAAAAAAGATGCTGATTAACCCTATTCCACATCTCTTTCTTGTATAGGTCCTGTCCCACAGAGGACCTATATTATTATTAGCTTAATAATTGTTAATATGAACATTTATTTAATGCTTGCTGAATTCCAGGAACTAGGCCATTGTAACTCTGGTCTTTAAAGCAACTTAGGTGTTATTAACCTCACTGTATACATTGGAAACTCGGGACTAATAAGTTCAAGTTCAAATACACAAAGTGCCTAGCCTGGCACATTGAAAGTGTTTAATACGTGGTAGCAAATATAATAATAATCACTATTTTTAAGTTTACTTATGTATTTTGAGAGAGAGAGAGAGAGAGAGAGAGAGCTCATGCACACATGTGAGCTAGGGAGGGGCAGAGAGAGAGAATCCCAAGCAGGCTCTGTGCTGTCAATAACTTGTATTGCTGCTTTTTAGAGGGAATGCTGTAGAACCAGGATTCTGTATGGTTTCACAAGAAGTCCCCAGACTAATGCCATCATCTTCAGACTCCACCCTCTGAGAGGGATACTTTGTCCCTCTACATTCAAGTGGAGGAAAACTTGGGGTGGCCCACCACATTTCCAGATGGTTCTAAAACCCCCATGTTGGAGATAAATCATAGCTTAGAGGACTGCTCTGCATACAGCGATTTTCTCTATGACAGAAATACATTGAACAACAGTCTAATGCAGGCTCCAGGCTAATTGCACAGTATTTTCCGAGAGCATATTCTGTGTAAGACTGAGCAACATATCAAGAAATGCGGAGAACTGTAGAAAATTGTCACCTCAAGTCTTGGAGGAAACCTAAGGATTGTTTCACCCAATTCTCTTGTTTGGAAAGTGAGTAAACTACAAACCGGAGCAGGGAATTGACTCACCAGTTCATGCAAGTGCTCGGAAGAGAGAGTAAGAATCTGATTCCTGGCTGGCAATTCCAAGGACAGTCATCTCCCCCCAAAGTTCAGGATGCAAATGAACATGCCCACCTGTTCCTGGAGCCCAGTCCTCTGAGTGGTGGCTGGCGGGCCAGCTTTCTGCTTGGGAGCTCTCAGCCAGAACCTCCTACTGGCTGTTCCTGCCAGTATACTGTTGGTCCTTTGCTCTCCAGCCTCTGAGACTTCCTGCCCTTTTCTCAGAATAGTAGTTATGATTACACAAGATATGGGCTTCACTGTACTTACATTCAACACATGAAAAATACCTCTGCTTCCTCTTTATAAATTTCAAAGTTTGGAAAATAACACAGACTACAAGTAACACCTAAGAATAAAGAGCTTGTGAAGACTGGTGATGGTCCCAGTTAGAATTTATTCCCCGCATTCGTAAAAGTAAGTCAATCAGTTCTGTCTTCGCCTGAGTTTTCTGCCTACTAAATAGGGATGGACAATAATAATTCCACTGTTGGCTCTCTCTCTCTCAAAAGCTTACAAAAAGCAGGCACTCCATAACCAGTGATAACAATGATGTTCATTTTGGATTTGGGAGAATTTATATATTTCCCCATTTCCCAGGCTCTTAGGGCAGACTGAAAGCAACCTATGGGGACTTGCTGTCCAACTGTCACTTCTCTGAGTGCCTCTTTGTTCTGTGCCCCCTCTGGCTTCATCTCTTTGTGCTCTGGGAAGTCCAGGCACATCTTGGGAAGGATTCAGTGGGTGGGGGTCAGAGGCAGAGCCCCTGGCTACGTACAAGCTCACATTCTGGGAAGTACCGGGTGTTGGGGGGACATTGTTGCCACTTGTCAAAGCCTTTTACGGCTGCTTGCACAGCACCCTCTGCTCAGATCATTCTAGGGAGTGTGGCCCGCAGCAGCGGCAGGCGGCATGACGTTCTCCATACTTTCTCAGTTTCCTGATGGCGGCAAGGCTCTCTGCTGGGAGAGGAGCAAACCTAAGCCAGGGGTGTTTAAGAAACTCATAGGATACTTGGAGAGAGTTTTAGTCCAATCCTTTTATTCTCCAGACGAGGAGCCCACCACAGGTCACTCATCATGGGACTAGAATCCAAGGGTTTTGGCAGCTGGGTCCAGGTGTGCACCAGGGCAACAGTCTGTCACTTTGTCATCGTCTTCATCCCCATGGCCAATGTCATCGTCACTGAGGAAAACCCTCGTGGTCCAGACCTTCCTCTGGGTCTGCTGACTACTAAACAAGTTGTCAAAGGAGGATGCTGGTCATTGGGCTTCTCTCACATCTCTTCTAAGTCTGAGAAGGAATTCATGGGAAAATCAGTTAAATATCCGGTCAGTTTTCTCATATATAAAGGGATAATGAAAAGGTTTTCAGAATTTTTGTGAGGATTCAGTCATATATTGTCACGTATGTAAGTCTATATACTGTGCTCAGCAGAGAATCTTGACATATATTAGAATTCAAAAAAATCTGTATTCTTTGCCCAACATCTTCTCCCACCCCCTTTACAGAAAAGTGTATTTCAGGTCTCAATAGTTTTTCTACATTAACTCTAAATCCATCCTCCTGGGTATTGATTGAAATACCTTAGCCCTTTGCAGAGTTCTAGTGCTCTAGACGGCAAACGATTCATGGTGCTGAGCTTGCTTCAAGGGTGCAGACTAGTGATTTCCCAATTTTCCACCCTCTCCACCCCAGGCTGACTGTGAAGTTAGAAAACGTAGAAGTGGATCTCAGATCTCTATGACCTTGAACAGAGATGACTGACATTTTTTTTTTCTCCAGAAATAGGGGACTCTGACTATCCAGGAGAGGTTCCCAGAGCACGGTTCATTATTCTCTTTGGGATCTGAGCTGCCCTTTTCTTTCTTTCTTTTTTTAATAATATATATATTTATTTATTTTTTAAATTGACATCCAAGTTAGTTAGCATGTAGTGCAATAATGATTTTAGGAGTAGATTCCAGTGATTCGTCCCCTACATGTAACATCCAGTGCTCATCCCAACAAGTGTCTTCCTTAATTCCCCTTGCCCATTTAGCCCATCCCTCCACCCACAATCCCTCCAGCAACCCTCAGTTTGTTCTCTATATTTAAGAGTCTCTTCCGTTTTGTCCCCCTCCCTGTTTTTATATTATTTTTGCTTCCCTTCCCTTCTGTTCATCTGCTTTGTGTCTTAAATTTCACATATGAGTGACATCATATGATATTTGTCTTTCTCTAATGGATTTCGCTTAGCATGATACCCTCCAGTTCCATCCATGTAGTTGCAAATGGCAAGATTTCGTTCTCTTTGATTGCTGAGTAATATTCCATTGTGTGTGTGTGTGTGTGTGTGTGTGTGTGTGTGTGTGTGTGTACCACATCTTCTTCATCCATTCATCTGTCAATGGACATTTGGGCTCTTTCCATACTTTGGCTATTGTGGATAGTGCTGCTATAAACATGGGGGTGCATGTGCTCCTTTGAAACAGCACACCTGTATTCCTTGGGTAAATGCCTAGTAGTGCAATTGCTGGGTCGTAGGGTAGCTCTATGCTTCATTTTTTGAGGAACCTCCAGACTGTTTTCCAGATGAGCTCCTCTTTTCTGTCTTTCTGCTCAGCTATCCATAATGTAGATTTTCATCATCAGGGAGCAAGTTGGGTGCTCAGGGGGAAGAAGAAAGATAACAAAGAGGAAGCCTAGCACCTAAATAAGAAATTAGTGCATTCCCAAGAATCTCCAGCAAAATTTTTCTTGAGTCTAATTGGCTAGAACCATGTCACATTGCCATTTCTATCCACAAGGAAGGCTAGAAAATACCGTTGTGTGTGTGTGTGTGTGTGTGTGTGTGTGTGTGTGTGTGTGTGTGTGTTTAGCTGTGCACTACACAATTCTTGAATAAAGTCACCATGAGTCTGTAAGAAAGATAGGGAGACCCAACAATGAAGAAGCAAATTATCTTCTTACAATTAGTGTTGAATTTGCAAGATAATTTCTATTGATGTATGTGTATTCATCTTGGTGAGCTGGATTCCTTGTAGGGGTCACATAAGCTGATTATGAACTCATTTGAAGATATAGCTGAAAATATTTGAAAAACTATGAAACAACACATTTAAGACTTTATAAGATTTCTTTCTATTTTCTTAAACCAAATGGTAGCTGTGTAAGGATATGAAACCATTTTACTATCACTTAGCAGATATTATTAAAAGGCATTTGAAGGATGCCTGGGTGGCTCAGTCGGTTAAGCATGTGATTCTTGGTTTTGGCTCAGTTCAAGATCTCACGGTTCATGGGTTTGAGCCCCACATTGGGTTCTGTGCTGGTGGCATGCAGCCTGCTTGGGATCCACTCTCTCCCTCTCTCTCTACCCCTCCCCCGCTCAAACTGTGTCTGTCTCTCTCAAAATAAATAAATAAATAAACTTAAAAAAATGAATTTGGAAGAATTTTATATTTCGTTTTTAAACACACACACACACACACACCCCTACGTTATATCAAATTTTAATGGCATTTTAAAGAGAAAAATTTCTTCGTCAGTTTTTTCCTATAATTTTGACTAGCAATTAATTTTGAGTGTGAAAGGTAAATATTTCTAGGAAATAAATCAAAACTGAATATACTGTCTCACAACAACTGATTCAACCCACTGAAGCTGATAAATGATTATAAATTTTGAATAGTAAGACTTATTCTAAACTCATTTTCCCCATCAAGAGTGCTAGTTTTCAGTCTTCAGTTTACATAACCGCTATGAAACGGCCTTCTTAGCAGTTGGAAAAACCCTGACTTTCCCCACTCAGTGATTTCTTAATGAATTTCCTCTCTGGGGTATTTCCTTACAGTCACATGTATAAACACAAATCAGATTTCTTGCTTGCTTGCTTGCTTGCTTGCTTTCTCTCTTTCTCTCTCTCTTTTCCTTCCTTCCTCCCTCCCTCTCTCCTTTTCTTTTCTTTTCTTTTTTCTTTCTTTTCTTTCTTTCTTTCTTTCTTTCTTTCTTTCTTTCTTTCTTTCTTTCTTTCTTTCTCTGTCTGTCTCTCTGTCTGTCTCTGTCTCTCTCTCTCATGTTTGGTAGCTCTGATGATGTTTATTTTACTCTTTGACACATGTCAAATCTTACCAGATAATGGGATTAAAATCTTATGAACTTTCTGATTCAATATACATGTGATGTGAGATTCTTAATATTGAATTTTGAAAAGCTATCTTATTGATATGAAATGTCACCTTCATTTTAAGTAAGTGGGATTCAGACAAAACCCCTTCACCACTTAACTGATTACAATCATACTAATTCTTGGCATTCGATAGTCAACTAGATTTACTGCTACAGATATTTCTTATTTATTTAATCTATAACGATTTTCATTTAAAATTACACTTACTTGTGATTATTTTTATTGTAGTAAGTAATATTGCCCCAATATGTACAGTGATGACATTATTTTAATGCATTTATTTAAGTAGAAAAAGTGAGTTAGTTAAAATAGGTAAATTACTACTGGTGTATAGTCATGTTTCTTTAATTATAGAATGTGGGGATACAGCACTTTTTCTGAGGAAGAACATCCCAATTCTTCTCTAAGGAGCATCCCATGGTGTTAAGGAATTTAACAGCTCAATTCCTCAAGCATGAGTATAGTAGCAATACGAAGAAAAGAAAAATAATATAGCACTTTTTCTCTTTGGCTTTTCAAAATCTTTGTAACTTATACTTGAAAAAGCAGGATTCAAAGAATGCAAAGAAAACAATCTTATTCTTTCCCCACAGCAGTTCTGTCCAAACATCCTCAATAGGACTGCATCTCCCCAGCTTCTTATTTAAAATCTAAGGCAAGTTGCTTTCAGGGAGTAAAGAGTTCAAGCCACTTGAGTATTTAAAATGTACTGTTTTACATAAGAATCAAATTTTATTTTTTTTAAATATGAAATTTATTGTCAGATTGGTTTCCATACGACACCCAGTGCTCATCCCAACAGGT